AGGTATTTATAAGAAATAGAACCAGTCACGATAAAATCAGTAGTACCGCAATTGAAAATGAAATAACCCTGACATTAACCTTTATATACAAGTCAGAAAAATATTTTAAATTCAATAATATTCGAATATATTCTGAAAAACACAGCAAGTATCCTTTATATATCTTTAGTTTACTAATGTATATGTTCAAAATATGTGGACATATCCTTGTTATGCCTTAAAAAGTTGCTGCACTGGATTAAAATATATGACACATTTTTACCGTCAAAATATAGGAATAAGATAGTTAGGCATGAAATTTCTGCAAAATCTCAGACTGTTAGAGTAGTGTTCAGTATTCTCGGACCGGTTGCGACTCCGTTTAACTTTTTCAGTGGTGGTGAAAATTTTAACTTATATATAGAATGATTTTTTGGACGCCTGATTCGTCTCCGACAACGGGCTAAGATGCTACTAAAACGCGCAAATATGTGGGATATCGGCGAATGCTGGTGGACGTTCAGAGACATGCTGCGGTTGCATGTGCACACAAACAAGCGACACAAATGACAGTTTCGAGGCGCATGTCATTCATTATCTCAAAACACTATTTTTTAATAGATTCATAATCTATTAAACACATAATTCACTCGCGTCCTCTTGTCCATAATGCTTTTCCTGCCAGAGTTGTGGGTTAAGCCTTTAACCCACAATAATGTACCGTTTTTTTGCCGTCCAATAATGTTCCGGCTGAGACCACTTCCCTCGTCTTTACATTTATAAGTGGATATAGATTTACATTTGGATATCTATTTATATCTGGTATATATTTATACCTGGATATATATTCATATATGGGAATATAGCTAACCTCTACAGCACTAACACTCGAGATCAGTAGACGTTGAAGGCTTGTAAAGACACACGGCAAGACAGGAAGAAAAAACGATTAAGTCTTATCACGAACCTATTAAAAGTGTCCGGACACCTCATCATACGAGGCACTTCGTCGTTATAGCAATCATTTCATCATTATAGCAATCATTTCATCAATATAGCAATCATTCCATCGATCATTATTGTAATCATTTTATCATTATAGAAAGTATTTCATCATTATAGCAATCATTTCATCCTTTTAGCAATCATTTCATCATTATAGCAGTTGGAAAGGTTTGAAATGATGAAATGTTTAATGATGAAATGTCTCGCACGATGAGGTGTCAGGGAACCCCTTTTGAAATAAGGCGATAAATGTCAGGTTGTGATGTCATTACTGACTATTACGTCACCTTCTGTGACGTCACTACTCGTGGGTCACCGCGTATATAAGCTGAGAAAGCGCACTGTTAGTCCTGTCTCTTATACACATCTAGATGTGTATAAGAGACAGGTATTATTCTTTTATATTCAATTCCNGACTAACTCGCGGTCGGCCCGCTCTCTCTCTTAAATACTGCGCCGGTCTCGCGCAGCGCTCTAGCTAGGCGGTTTGAGCTCCTCCCTCGAAATCCCGAGTTTATGTCTATCATCAATCCCTAATTTTATGTAAAATTTATTCCTATTCCTATTCCTAATCAGGTTAGAGGCCGATGTTAAATTAATAATTTAGCACGACGAGTCCCTCAAACTATTAAGCCAATTCTCACTAATGAACTTCATGCTGTTACGCCCTTAATTACAGAATTGACGAATTCTGCTAGTAATACGGCATTAACGCCGTTGATGCTAATGTATAATGAGCTGTTAATACCTGAGATTTTAATAATCCGGTTATATAAAATGATGTTGATAGCCTTTTTGGAGTTATATATACTCGCTCTTTTCAAATTAGATAATGCTAGCAGTCAACACTGACGTCATAAATGTTTACATGTGTTCAAACCATATAGTAGCACGTAAGCACTGTTCATGTTTTAAAACATGATAGGCGTTCAGAATTTGTTCTTGAGAAAGTCATCAATTGACACTAATTGACTGATGGTAATAACGTAATGTACGTATACCAATTTATCTAGCTTAATTTGAATTATTTTGATGTTGATGATGTGATAATATTGTAAGTGCCTTTCCTGTTACTCAATTTTTGCTTACAGCAAAGGTCTGTGCAATATTTTCGAGTATATATACCGATAAAATTGATGCACGTTAAATACACCGAACACTGATTCCGGCAGGGAAATTTTTTTTGTAATAATGTGTTATTCTAATATCTAGGTAACGCTAAATAATTAAATAATTTCCGCCTGTTATTATTTTTTGTAACTTTCATGTTCGGTTGTGCAACGTTGATATAGACAACTGTCTTTTGAGATTCTTGAATGCAATATAATGTTCTACTCTTTACTTTCTCTACCATGTTATCTACTCAATTGCATTATCTGTAGAAGTAATGAGTTGATGTATTATGACATCCATGTGGTTTCAAACGGTAGATTTAATCAAGTTGATTAAACTGTAACAATTATTGTATAGTCATGAGTAGATTCAGCCGTCAAAGACTGGCACTTCAATTGCAAAAAGTTAACTTTGCATATAACAAATGCTGACCCGATCTATCGAAGAAAGTCAGTATATGTTTTTTTTTCTCCCTCTGATTGGTCGAGATTACTTCCTTTTATTGCAACATGAATATAATTTTGTGCATTTTTATATAATATGGTGATTTGTGAGTTGCATATAGATATTGTCTGTGATTACGATGTATGCGCTATAAGTTATAAGCGAAATTTCCTAACGCTTGATCATGTCGTGAGAAATTTTCTCTTCAGATGATTTCATTATAACTTGAATTCATGCCGACGAACGATCTCGTGATTCACGTAAAAAAAAAACTCAAACTCAATTCAACGATAATTTTTTTTTTTGCTATAAGCGCAAAGAATTAATGAAGCGGCAAGCAGAGTTTGCTTACCTTTCACAAATCGTCTGTTCAAATCGCTACGTAAGCGAGAACAATTTCACGCTCAGCGATGGCATTAATGAGATCTTTAATGAGACTAGCAATCTAATTAAAGCACATAGCAATAGCACGGTTCTTATACTTCATTCTTGATGAGACTTGCTAAACGCAAGTGATATCGTGATATAATGACAACCGAGGAGATTAATTTTAATCTCATGTCACTGAGATCATTAAAATGGACGAACCGTAGTTAAAATTTCACAATTTTATTGTAAAAATTGCTCATGTGTGTATCTCCATTTTGCCTCTTATTCGAACGATGTTTACAGTTAATGAGATTTTGTTGTTCAAATATTTCATTGTATTTGAATTAGGCACTGCGAATTTCACGATTGCAAACCATCTTGCTGGATCACGATCTAATAAAATGACTAAAATAGCCATTTATATGTAAAGTAACATAGCGTAAATGAATTTCCTGCGGTTATGTGATTGCTTTTAAATGAAATTGCGAAATGATCCAACGCAGCTCAGAGTAAATCTAAGAATAGGCTATTACATGGCTCTCTAAAAATAGAAACCAATGAAAATGTATTTTCTTCTTGCCGAGCGACAAACTTTATTTTTAAGCGTATAAAGCCAAAAAACCGGCATTGAACTTCTATGTAATATTAAGTTACTACTATGATGTCCGTTGACATATGTAAACTCTAGTAACTGAGCCTTTTTCTTAAAAATTAGGTTTGAAATTAATGCCAAATTACTTAATGCCTAATCTAAGCACTGAAGTTTAACGTTCAGTCTCATTGTAATTAACAATTCCGATCATTGTTAAGAAACTTGTACACATGACACTGATGCGTTGACCCACGTATTAGCTTTGCTTTATATTAATGAAGCGAGGACGCTTCTACAGCGTAGGGGGGACGTGTCAGGCCGTGATGTCATTAGCGACTATTACGTCACCTTCTGTGACGTCACTACTCGCGGGTCACCGCATATATAAGCTCGGTGAGCCGACTGCCAGTCAGTCATAGGCGAGTCTTAAGGCCCGTTCACACTAGGGGCAACACACGAGAATCAAGTGCCTCAAAGCGCATACAGAGGCGCTTTGCAGCCTCTGCATGCGCTTCTTGACCGATTGACGAGCTAGCGATTGACAGGGGCCATGCCTCATGCAACACAAGCGCGGCGCTTAGTAGATAGCTATTAAAGAATTTATATCACTTGTATGCTTAAATCGCAAATTAACTAAGAATTTAAATTAAATTAAAAATTTAAATCAAATTAAAAATCTAAATTAATTAGTTAAAGAAATTCAATTCGTTCTATGGTTTCAATGTATTAATTTGGGACTTCTGATTAGTGATTCTAGATTCTACGAACTGACGATGGAGCTGGTCTCCGAAACGTTTTCTATAAAGATATGAATTTTTATGGACTATTCTTTGCTTTTAAATTCTTAGTTAGTAGATAGCTGTCTGTGGTCTAGTAAGGTTGATTGTGTACGCTGGTCCGGCACACCAAATGTCGACTAACATCACTCGTTTGGAGTCACTCTCTAGTAGAGAGCCTTATTGATCTTTAATTCTTTATAGAGAAAATGAATGCCTATGGAGTGTTCGGTCAAAGGAGTACAAAAATCTAAATGCAAATGATGTACGTTATTTTTACATGACGTGTTTAGTTTATGTGATTTTAGCAACTCCTGACAATTTATGCATTACCGTTTAGCGATTTCCAAGGATGATATAATATCGGTACGAATATTGGAACTTTTTATTTAAGAATAGACTATATTTTTTATAAACTGTATCTTTTTGAATGTGCTAGTCCTCTAATTATGATGCCTATGCTAAATTCTCGTTTACATTTGGCATAGTGCGAAGAATGACGGACCGCAGCACACCCGAGAACAATGGCCCACAGCTCAAATTCGGTTACATCCATCCTCATTGACGTCTAGGTGGCAACTAGTGTTCAAAGCGCGCGCTCTCAAACTACCGAGTACAAAAGTAGTGTGAACGGTTGTGCGCGGTGAGGCACTGCAGCAAACGACTCAAAGCGCATGTCGTTGCCACTAGTGTAAACGGGCCTTAGAGGAGGGTTGTCAGACATGAGGTGGGTGAGGAGGGTGTCCTCCCTACCCATATCCTCTTTGTGGGCTGCCTAGCAGGCTACAAACATCGAGGCACTTCATGCCAATACCGCTGTCATTATGAGGAAATTATTGGTCTGAATTACAATCTTTGTACTTTGATATATCTCCGTAACATTTTCAATATCGATATGATGAATTTGCTTGGCGTTTTTTGTTATTTAAATTTCTTGTGAACTTGCGATATAAGCAGATTGATAATAGAAGTAGGTACTTATATACGATCTAGCGACAATTAGACTTTCGTGAAAAAATTTATACTATGTAAATTAAATATCATCGACATAATTTCGGCATCGAATATGAAGCATTTATATATTTATATACTTGGGATGAAAATATAACAGTTCGAAAACAGTCTATTTGGCCTGAAGCAGCGGCTCACATTCCCAAATGGGGTACCCCCACATCGGAGGGGGGGGAGAGGAGGGGGTGTGAGGGATCAGCTCAGCGGCCCAAGCACCCTTTGCTTCGTGACGCGTCTGCCCAAGTCTATGTGTGTAGAGCAGCCAGACGCAGGCCTGCGCTCGCATGACATTCCTTTGACACCACACAGCCAGACGTAAGATACTAGTAGTCACGGCAGCGTCCGCGATCACCCTCGCTTCGGAGTTCGGGCGGGTCTGCATACCCCCCTTAAGGCAGACAGCCTTCAGCTGCAGTCATGCAGTTAACTCGTGACTCCGGCACTCAGCCAACACGCAGTGTCGTTATATACTCTATCTCCAAAATTACTGCACATACTGTGCTTTGATCCTGTAACTTCTATCTAGTTTATCCGTGAACCTATCTTTAATACTTACGCTTAGATACACGTCTTGTCATTATCCTTCCCTGGCCCATGAATATTTAATATGTTATTCGGACAATTATAATGAACCAAAACCCCTCAGGTTTACCTACAACGGAACAGTAGATCAGACCGATCTATTTAGAACTTTGACAAAACTTTAAATTTGGCATGCATGCTTATGTTGCCTAACAATTCAAGATTTGATCATCAGAAGTAATAATTAAAAAAATTTTTTAATTTAAAAAAAATTTAAAAACCCTAAAAATTCACGGTTGGGAATCGAGTTTTTTGTCGAACATCCAGAGTTGCCAACACTGGAAAATGATTTGAATTGCTAAAATTCCTAAACTAAAAAGTAAAAAATGAATAAATATAAAACCATTTTTAAAAACCACGTTTTTCTGGTGGTTACAAAACTAAAAACAATGAAATAAAACAAATAAAAAACTTTAAAAACCACGTTTCCTTAACGGACAAAAAAGGAAATCACTAACTCTTACATAACATTCTACATAACTTTAATGTTATGTAAGAGTTAATGTTTTTCTTTTTTGTCCGTTGAGAAAACGTGGTTTTAAAATTTTTTTTTTAATTTGTTTTATTTGAACCGTGCATGTTCTCTGCAGGGCGACAGTGGTGGTCCCCTGGCAGTACGCGGACCGGACGGGCGCTAGGTGCAGGCGGGCACAGTCTCCCATGGCATCAAGTGCGCCTACCCCAGCCTGCCTGGCGTTTACGCTTGGGCAAGTAGGTGATGACTGGCTTGGTTGGGTAAGTAGGTGATGACTAGCTTGGTTGGGCAAGTAGGTGATGACTAGCGTGCTTGGGCAAGTAGGTGATGACTAGCTTGCTTGGGTAAGTAGGTGATGACTAGCTTGGTTGGGCAAGTAGGTGATGACTAGCTTGCTTGGGCAAGTAGTTGATGACTAGCTTGCTTGGGTAAGTAGGTGATGACTAGCTTGGTTGGGCAAGTAGGTGATGACTAGCTTGCTTGGGCAAGTAGGTGATAGGCTAGTTTGGGCAATAATTCTGATATGCTCAAAACGTGTACTCGTTCGTAGCGTTAGATACTTGAGTACTGCGCGCTTCCATCGAAGAACCCAGCATATATTTTTGCATTATATCAGTCTCTTTTGCCCTCCTGCGGCGTGATAAACTGCAAGCAAAATGCAAACAGTCCCTTTTATATACTGTATATTTTGAAATTAATTTTGATATTTGCTATATCTAGCTTACATGTCAGTTATTTTTTGCAGGTTGTACTTGTGCAGGTTGTACTGGTGTACAACCTGGCGACGTACTGAGGCTTGACCAAGGTCTCGTACCAACAAATAAATGCACTCGCCGATCAGTATGCAGGGCAAGACCTTGTCATAATCGGCTACCCTTGCAACCAGTTCGGTAAGGTGAGTCAGCCGTCTTATCTGCCCAGACGAAATTATGTTGATTACGAGTTAATTTCGGTGAAATAACGTTTTATCCAAGTTATTTTAACGTCAGAATCCCTGTCCGTTACGTTACTCACTGGTCATTATGTTAATAATCATTTGGTGATCCTTGCATAGTATGTTACTGCCGCTGTTGTGAAGTATATATCTTTAGTAATTTAGTAATAAATTCTAGCTGATTACCAATACATCAATTTGTAAGGCGAGATATACTTTTATCATAGTATGGAAAATTAGATAAATTTCCATTAATGGTTTAGTAGTCAATGATTTGTATTGATTTCTGAACCACTCGCAGCAAGAGCCCGGAGTGACTCGTGACGAGATCATGAACGGCATCCGCTACGTGAGATCGGGCGGGGGGTTCGAACCCAAGCAGGATAGAATATTCCAGAAGGTTGATGTTAATGGGGCGAACGAGATCCCCTTCTACATATACCTTAAAGTGAGTCGAATAATTGCTGTCGAAACGATTCAATGACTGAAAACAGTTTGGAATACGTACGATGAAACTCATTAATCAAGTCGATTAGTTTGTTTTCGGTGCCTCAAATGATAGGATGTTCGCTCTGTTGATATTTTCCTACTATACCTGCCTTTTAATGCATAGATTTGTCTTCTATCCGCCGCCTAGCAGGGAAAGTCGAATAGAGCTGGGCATAAAGTTGTGATCCTTTGGAATCATATTCGGGAAATTTTTTTAAAGATGTAAAGTTTTTTATTAATTTCGGAAGGTTTTGAACGCTAATGCAAAACAAGATTGTGTGTATAATACATAATAATTTTATATATAATATGGTATTCTGTTGTAAGTGTTAGTATGTATTCATTAAACATGTGTGTCGCTCAGGAGTCTTACAAGCTTGATAATGATGCAAAACTAGACAACACGTTGATCATTGTGCAGCAATGTCAAACCTCTAAAACAGTAATTTCAGATGATACATTGTATTTGCCATCACGTTGTATAATTTTGTACCCAACAGGCCGCCTGCGAAAGCTATTTTGTAGGAGCAAAATCTCGTCCATGTTCACACAAGGGTGAGCGCAGAGGTGGTCGAATATCCAGGGCGGAATCCATGTTGATGATCGTCTAGGAGCAGGTGTTGAGTGATAAAAGGAAGCAAGCATCGTTCCAGGACTTTGATGGCGGGGCAAAGCAGGGAGATTGGTCGGTAGGATTTAGCGCCATTGTCCAGTTTGCCGGGTTAGAGCAGCAGTATGACTTAGTCTCTACCGGGTAAAACAAGGAAGGCTAATACAAATATATGTTTATCAACATAGGGATGGAGGAACTATCTTCTAACCAGGAAGAAATTAATTGAATGCGGAATGAGTAATATAATGCAGAAATGAAAGTTAATTATTATTTTTTCCACCTTACAGCGGGTCAGGTAGGTAATTCCGAGTGGTCCAAGATATTTGAGGTAAAAGATGGTGAGTTTGTTTGGTCCAGTGGCTTTAGAGGGACGGGATTGTTTGATTGCGTTGGCCACTTGTGCCGTTGAGAGGGAGGGACTGTCCGATAGGTTGAGGTTCTTCGACTTCCGGGTTGTGATTCTATTGAGTTTATTGGACCTGTGTTGAGCGACAGCCGTGAAGAGACTGTCGAAGCAATCGGCAAGATTTTTGATATTATTAATGGGTTTCTCATTGAAGTTGATGGCGTTATTTGGGTAGTTTTTTGGCTTGCCGCAAGGCCTTTATTGTTGACCAGAGGCGTTTAACGTAGGTATGGCGGTTGAAGGTAGAGAGGTATTGTTTCCATCGGGCTTTTTTTATGTCGTTAGTGAGCTGTTGATTATGGGCAGTGAGGACTGCTACATCGTCAGAGGTGGAGTTGGCAGCACGGAGGTTGTTTCGCTGTCGGGTGAGGTTGATGATGTCTTTAGAGAGGCCATGCTTAGAACAGATGTAGCCGCGTGAAGGAATGTTATGGTTGCTTGCGCGGATTAAAAAGTTGGGGTAAAATTAGGGTCTTTGGGGTAGTGGTCATTGTATCGCCAGTTTCTTCACTGTGATGTGCTTGAATGAATTGCCTGCAACAAACAATTTTTTTATATTATATGGACAACATAATCTGGAGACACTTGTCCAAACATAACACATTATCTGATGAACATAACAATGAACATAAATGCCATACAAGAATATTTCATTTGAATTGGTAGCTGTGTCCCCCATCACAGTACACCTACAAGGGACAAAAAATGGCTCAGGGATATCAAATATTGTTCAAATGAGAAGGCAGAAATTGAAATGACCTACACTGTATGTAGCCAAGATGTTGATTAATCTGATTTTTCTTACCTGGTCATATAGATAACGGTCTGGTAATCCTGTTATACTTGCTCCTGTTGTTGTTGTAACTGCTACAGCATTAGATGTTGCAGCTTTTCTTCTAGCTGCTGCAGCTCTTGTTGCCGCAACATCTGTTGTTGTAACTTCTGCAGAATTTGTTGTCTATCTTCTAGCTGCTGCATCTCTTGTTGTTTCTGCAGCATCTGTTGTTGTAACCGCTGCAGAATTTTTTGATGCAGTTCATCAGGCTGCAGCAGCTCTTGATGTTGAGGCAGTATCTGTAGGTCCTGCAGCATCTGTTGTTCCTGTGGCAGCCATTGTTGTTGCTGCTGCAGCTGCCATTGTTGTTGCTGCTGCAGCTGTCGTTGTATTGTCTGCTGCAGCTGTTGTGGTATCTGCTGCAGCTGTTGTTGTTGCTGCTGCAGCTGTTGTTGTTGCTGCTGCAGCTGTTGATGTTGTTGCTGCAGCTGTTGTATTATCTGTTGCATCTGCTGTAAAGAATCTGCAGAGACGAAAAGCATTTACTATTTAATCACTATTGAACAATTTTTTAAACAAAAACATGATTTTTACTTTCATGTTTGGTTGATATTTATCACTATATGTGCTCATGACAACACATCTAAAACAGAAGTACATGAGACAGAAAAGAGCAGTCGAATTACAATGGAGGTTAGGTAGCACTGGACTTACACATTATGGGGCCAAGCCAGGCAAGTAAGAGCTTCTCTGCAGGATCATATGGAGCTTGTGTAAGAATTTTAATCCTCTCCCAAGACTAAACTAACATCATTTATAATTATGAGTCTGGAAAAAGAAGAGCACAAGTGAGTAAATATAATGTAAGCTGCAGTCACAAATATAATAACTAAAAGTCATGCAACACCAGTAGAGCACATTAAAGCATAACAGCAAACCAGATTACTGAGAATAACCCTAATCGTTTAGAATTAACAACATCATACAATTATTGAAACATACACAACACATTCAGTACTATTAACATAAGCACAACGATACAACTTCCTCACAACAATACACATACAGTGGGGGGAAATAAATATTCGTACACTTGAAAAATCGTATTTTAATGTATGTAAGTACACAAACTTAACAGGAAAAGTGATTTAAATTATGTATAGAGACGCATAGTATTCAAAAATACTATCAAAAGAAATTAAATCTCAATGCAACAAAAAACAATGCAACATGTTCACTTTTTGGGTAAAAAAAGTATTCGTACAAAACAATAAATCCGCATTATTTTAATTTAATACTTGGTTGAATAGGTACCCTTTATTCAGCTCAACAGATACCAGTCTATTTCTATATGTCTCAACCAATGATTTGCAGATGCTGACTGGTATTTTATACCATTCTTCTTGGCACACCACCTTAAGATTCTCAATGTTTGTTGGGGACCTTTTCTTAATTTGAAATACTTGAATTCCTGAGGCACTCAGGTGACTTTGCAACTCTCCTCGAGTATCTGTGGATTTTCTTGGATTTTTCGTCCCAATAATCTAGCAGATGTTCTGGTGTGAAATATTAGTCAAAAGTTGTTTTGTACGAATACTTTTTTCACCCGAAGAAGTTAACATGTTGCATTGAGATTTAATTTCTATTGATGCTATTTTTGAATACAATGCGCCTCTATACATAATATAAATCACTTCTCCTGTTCAGTTTGTGTACTTACATACATTAAAATACGATTTTTCAAGTGTACGAATATTTATTTCCCCCCACTGTATATATTAAATACATGCCCACACACATCTCTCAAAACATGTCATTCATAACCTATTCTTACTTCCATCTAAAAAATCCATAAACAAAGTAACACATCTGTTGTTGTTGTTTGTTGCGACCGTCACGCTCGCCGGGGGGGAGGCTCTGGTGGTGGGCGGGGGGCTGGCACCGGAAGAGAAGGGAGATGGGCGAAGGCAGGGAGGGTGGCCAGGAATGCCGCTGCCTCCACGGGGTTGTCCCAGTGAGGAGATGCTGAGAGATGTGGGGAAGGCGGGGCAGACGAAGAGGTGCTGAACGGACTGGAGGGGATCCCCACACTCCGGGCAGGTGGAGCTAGGGGAGCGTCCGATCCTGGCGGAATAGGACGCCGGGGAGCTGCAGTATCCCGAGCGGAGCTGGGATAGCGCTGAGCGGTAAAGGCGAGGGAGTGAGGCCTCCACTGATGCAATTGGTGGTGGCGGGGCTGCGAGTACGGCGTTTATGGCGTCAGTCGCCGCAACGCGGGAGAAGATCTCCCTGCGGATACACCGCTTGGCTTTTCCGTATGCCCGGCAGGCAAGATACTATTTGCCAAGAGTGGTGTGACTAGATGGCCGAACCTCGACTGTATTGAGGCTTTCATAGGGCGGTCCCCGAGAGGGGCAGAGACCATGCGAAAAGAGGCATGGGAGGGCTGGAGGGCGCTAGCGAGGAACTGGGCGCAAGCCAGGTCAAGGTGCGCGAACAAAGGGAGGACTCCGGTCTCCTGGTGCAGATGGGAGATCGGGGCCATTTTGAGGCAGCCGGTGGCTAGTCGCAATGCAGTATTTTGCATTATCTGCAGGCTAGCAACTGCTGTGCGAGAGGCAACAGGGTACCAGATGGGGGCCACGTAGTTGAGGATTGGGCGCGTGATGGTACGGTAGGTGGCAACTATGTCCTCCTTGGAGAAGCCCCAGTTGGTGCCAGCAAGGGCTTTTAAGATGCGGAGAGAACTCATCGCTTTTGTGGCTATGGCTCTTGCATGAGGGGAGAAGGTGAAGTGTGTATCCCAGGTGATGCCTAGGATTTTGGGGGTTTTATCCAGAGGGATGATGCCGTTGCAAATGGTGGCAGATGGATGGTATCGGGATTGGTGCGTATCTGGGGTGAAGAGTGTGACCAAGGACTTGCCAGGAGCCACGGCCAGTTTCTTGACAGCCGACCAGTCTGAGACGCTGCGAAGGAGCAAGGCAAGCTCAGCCTCTGCAGCGTCAAGCCTCGGGGACGACACGAAGATGGTGAGGTCGTCTGTGTATGAGGCAATATTGGGGGTAGGCACTGGGATGTCGGAGATGAAGTGGATAAAGAGGGCCGGCGAGATGACCAAGCCCTGGGGAACGCCTGAGTGGATGGCTCTGAAAGGTGATTGAGTTCTGTGGTAGAGGCAAGATGCCTGCCAGCCTCGGAGGTAGCAGCACAGCCAGCAGACTAGGTTGTAAGTAACACATCCAACAAACACCCCCTGTAGAATTTCAAAACATGTTTCTAATTCTCTCCTCATTAATCACCAAAATCCCACAACAATACCTTGCATAACTTGACATAACTTATTTTAAAATAACATAATATATAATACGGTAACATTACATATCATGACACAACACAACATAATCTGACATAACCTTACATAACCTAATCTGACTTGACATAGCCTAACCTGATCTAACCTAACCTAAATTTACGTAATATAATCTCACCTACCCTAACATATTCTAACCTAACTTACTCTTACATAACCTAACCTAGCCTAGCATAACCTAACCTGATCTAGCCTAAGCTAACCTGATCTAGCCTAACCTAACTTAACCTAACCTGATCTAACCTAACCTAACATATCCTAACCTAAGTGAACATATACTAACCTAAGCAAACCTACACTAACCTAATCCAGCCCAACATAACCTAATCTAACCCAACCTAGCTCAACATAACCTAATCTAACCCAACCTAGCTCAACATAACCTAACCTAACCCAAATGAACCTAAACAAGCCTGACCTAACATAACTTGACCTACTCTAACCTAACCTAGCTTAATCTAACATAAAATAATCTAACATAAAATAATGTATACTAATCTAACCTAACTTATCCCAACTTATGAGGATCGTTTTGATCCCAGAAAAACTTTTACATTTATCAACCGATCTTTCTGATATTTCATATGCAGACATAAAATTTTAATAAGAAACAATTAAACAAAAACAAACTAACCAAAGTTTATCTAAGATCATCTATCTAACCAAAGATGGTATTAAAACATCTCTCTATCACTAGAAGAGACAAAAAACTGGTTAAAAAGATCTGGTAAGTTTCGATTTGTATTACAGTTAGTAAAGTTCTTCACAATAATCGATCACAAAAATATATCCTTATGCGATCTGAAGTCATCATTGTACCTCTCCCCAGTACGGTTCTCACTGGCAATTTAAGAGAGCAATAACTGGCATTTAGCCTGGGCATCCTGAAACCCTATGCAGCCTAATGTGTTGCAAAGGCAATACCTTGCATCCTATTGCATGTTAAATGTAGCTCAGACACAATTTCATTTCTACAGGCATGTCAACTCCCGATGCCTCTACTCATTAAAAGTTTTTGCCACAATTCATTCCAAAATGCAAGACCTAATCACTATTCCATATGGATTAAATAGTCATTTATTTGCAGTCAGATCAATAACTATTTACACCCAATACCAACCGCACCCTCGGAGGAGCAATAGATATTATAAGGGGGCACTGTAAGACAGCCAAGGGGCCAGGCAAACTGCCCTCTGGCCAGTAACATGTATTTTTCACAGTTATACCAAACATGGACTGAATTTTGCATAAATTTTGTTTTTTTTTTTCTATTTATTTAAAAAAGGACAGACAATGGCCAAATTTTGTCTTAGGACATCTCATACAACAAATCTGAGGGAATTTTTTGGCCAAATGAAGATTTTTTTAAAATTGCCTAGAAAATGTATTTTTTAACACGTTTTTCTTTACTCAGCTTTGCGTTTGTTTGTTGTTAACATTGACAACGAAAATTAGCCCACTTCTAATTGCTCTAGAGATCTGAAATTCGGCATGCAGGCTATTTTCGCCTAACAAATTCAGATACAATCATAAAAACTAGCAATTAGAGACCTAAATTAGCTTAATTGAGCAAAGTATATATATATATATAGTATATAGGTATATAGTATGGCGTGTGGGCGCTGATGTTATAGACGAGCAGGCGCTGACGATGCGCATCATCGATACGCATTGAACTTTTTAAAATCCACGTTTTTCATGTGTAGCAATGGACTAAAAAGGAGTAAATAAAATACTTAAAAAAACTTTTTAAAAAAACACGTTTTTCTTATTCACCATCAAATTTCCAAAATTCGTGTGTTGTGTGCTTTTTGATTTAATCGTAAATCTGCCCGACACACGTTTTTTGGGGCGAGCCATAATTTATTTTCCACTTTTTAGTCCAAAAGAAAATCGTGGTTTTTTAAAAAGTTTTTTTAAGTATTTTATTTAACAGGTTTGTTATTTAGGTTTTTCTCTATTCTTGAAAGAAGTTCAAGCAAACACTTTTTTTAATGGCATTCTAGAGAACAC